TTATTTGGTAGAAAAATTGATATCCCTAGCACTAGCCAATTGATTAATGAATAGAAAAGACATACGACAGAGTATTTTCTTACATATACTAATTGATTACTACATCATTAAATTTAAAAAATAAATTTAATTTTTTGACTTAAATAAGAATACACTTCAATTAAATCTCGGAGGCAGACCCACGAGTCACCTGTACATGAGTTGTTATTTGGTGACATTAATGTTATTGTTTCACTTGTTACTTGTCAAATTGAAAACTCAAAAAATAAATAAATAAATAAATAAATAAAAATAATATATAAACTCACATTTTAGACCCAATAAATTGTAAATGAAATAAATAATTAACTAATAATTAAAGAAAATATAAAAAAAATTACTTTAAATATTCTAAGGGTAAATTACACTTTGCACCCTTACATTTTGTACTAAATCTCACTTTGACCCCTATACATGAAATCAAGACAGTTAATCCCCTGCACTTCTGGTAAAATTCTAATTTAGTCCTTACATATAAAAATTGTGACAGTCAACCCCCTATACTTTTGGTAAAATCTCACTTTGATCCCTATACAAGTGTCAATGTCCCATTTCTGTAACTCAATTATTAAAATCTTTAACAAATTCTAATTATTGATAAGAATGTGACTATGATATCAGGATAAGAAAGGAAAATCATTAACATTTTCACCAATATAACTTTATCCCAAAATTTACATCAAAATATGATTGTATTAAGTTAAAACAAAACACAGATTGTGAACAATTAAGAAGATAAACTAAGGTTTTGCATAAATTACAATCACAAAACTCTATTTTTCATGGTATCATAGTCTTCTATTTATTCATCTTTCTTTCTCTTTGATTTCTTTCTCGCATATTTTTGTATTTCAAAAACTTTGCTTTCTTGTCTTTTCGTTCCAATTTTTACCATACGAATATATATATATATATATATATATATTTATTGTATATAACTTTCATGTGTTTATCACATAGAACAAAGTGTATTTAATTAGAAATATAGATAATTTTCCTATCTTACCCGTCATTTTGTAATCACATTTTTGTTACATAACTGAATTTTGTTAAAGACTTAAAAATGAAATAACATAAGAGAGACATTGACACTTGTGTAGGGATTAAAGTGGGATTTGAGTAAAAGTTGAGAGAGTTGACTGTCACAATTTCATGTGTAGAGACTAAAGTGAAATTTGATCAAAAGTACAGGATATAAACTGTCGTGATTTTATGTGTAGGGACTAAAGTAAGATTTGGTGTAAAGCACAAGCGTGCAAAATGTAATTTATCCATATTCTAATTGATTATCACATTAATAAATCTAATTTCTAAACTAGAATAGCAATAAAAATATATATATATAAAATCATACTATTTTAATCAATAAATTAAGGATTCGTTTGGCATTGGCTTTTTTAGCCAACTTTTTTTATGTTGAGACATTTTTAGCCTAACTTTTTTTAGTCTCGCTTGATTTTTGTTTTGAAATTTTTTTTACTTCTGTAAGAGAAAAAAGTATAACGATTTTGGATAAAAAGTAATATTTTATTTTATTAATTTATATAATCTATTTTTTCTTTTTGTGATTATTTAGTTCCAAAATGTTAGCCAAACCATGACTAAGAATTTGTATCAAATAATTATTTTCTTGAACATTGAAATAAAACTATTTGTTTTATTTGGTGTAGTTGTTAAAATAAATTATACATTATAATTTAACAGATTATAGATTATGACTTTAATCAGAAACTGTTAATCTGTTTGATGTAGCTGTTGGATTATAGATTTAAATTGCTGGCTAGTGTTTGTTAAATAAGCTGTAAAATAATCTTTTCAATTAACTTTTATTTTTTGTTATTTACTACTTGTTTATATTTCTCATAAAAAATAATTATTATTATTTATAGTCCATTTGGATCTTTTTTATTAAAAAAAAATTAAAAAAAATTAAGAATATAATCATAAATTAACATATCCATAACAAAAACTAATAATCAGAAATAATAGTGAGCAACTTCTTAAAATCATTTTTTTTTTAGCAATGATAGAGACCCCCTCCAATCACCACCCCCACAACTCCCATAGACACGTGGCGGGTGGTGATTGGAGGAGCAGGAAAAAAAGAAAAAAGAAAAAGAAAATGTAACCAATGAGAAAGAGAGGGGGTCAAAGGGGGTGGAGAGAAAGGGGGCATGAAACATTTTTATTTTTTAATTAAATAAACTATTAAAATTAAAAATTATTTAAAATAAATTTAATCAAACAGTACAAAAATAACTTTTTTAAAACTACAAGCTATAAATTCGCTCAAACAAACACCCTTAGTGGTCCTTGTTTAGCGTAGACGGAAAATGATGGAGAGCACTAATTAGTGCTATCACTAATGATGTAGTAGTGAACCCCATTAAGAATGATTTGATGTTTTGATCTTGGTGTTACATTTTTTTTTTTTTATTAAGGCCTAATTTGGGAAGACTAAATAAGTGCACTTTTTGATTTTTTTTGTATTATGTGTAGAAAAAGTAGAGAGGGGATGTTGATGATGTGACCCAAAAAAGATAAAAAAATGAAATAAGTGCACTTTTTTCTTTGTAGCCAAACTTGGCCTAAGTGCCACGTCATTAATGATTTTTTAGAACTCTAAAATTAGTGGTCTCTATTATTATTGACCCACCTAACTTAAGAAATTTACTTTTTATCCATGTGACTTGTTTATCTTTATCTACTTGTTGGAATAGGAAAGGCAATTATGTAAATTCACACTTCACATTTTGCAAACTTTTCAAATGTGTTCCAGCTTTTTTTTTAAAAAAAAATAGTGAGAGCATTAATTAGTACTGCCACTAATGATGTGACAGTAAAATTCACTATAAATGATTTAATATTTTGACCTTGATATTATATTTTTTTTATTAAATATCATGTCATTAATAATCTTTTTAAAATTTCAAAATCAGTGACTTCTATCATTTTTATTTTTTTTTCTTTGACTTATCTGGGTGTGTTTTTGGCTGCAAAACGCAGCTTTTTTGGCTGTTGCCAAAAGACCACTGACATTTGAGCTGTCTCCCAATCACGTTGAGCTAGCCAAGCTGCTTCCCTAACTCAGGTCTTTAGCCATCGGAGCTACAAAGCTCGTTTCATTTTGATTTTTTAGGAAAAAATTTGAGATTAAAATAATATGATAAAAATATAATTTGAGTGAATTTAATTTGTATTTTGAGATAAATTTTTTAAAAAAAAATTGAAAGGGAGTTTAATTTTTTTAAAAAAAATTTGTTTGGTTATATATTTTAAAAATAATTTGAAATTTTAAAATTTGAGATGATTTAATATTTTATTATAATTAAGTAGATATATATAAGAAAAAATGATTGAAAAAGAGAGAGGAAAGAAAAAAAGTAATTGATTGATTTATAATAGAGAAATAATTTTAAAATTTTTTTAAGAAAATTTATAACCAAACATGCTTTTGAAAAATTTTTTCCAAAAATATTTTAAAACAGAAACCAAACGCACCTAATATCACTCAAATAAAATTATTGTAATCAAAATAAAATGATGTACTAAAATAACACTGTTATTTTAACACATACCAAATAAATTCTCATTACTAGTAAAAATTTATTAGAATAATTACATTAAATAATTATCCTTTTATAAATATCATTTGACATTTTTTATCTAATGTACAGTAGTAATATATTGCAAAACACCTCCAAAATTCAGGCCACTCATTTAATACAAAATAATTTTAATTATAATAATATATAACAAGTAATAAAAAATATATTGAAAAAATATAAAAAATTTATAAAATCCATTAAAATTCATAAAACAATATATTAAATTTAATAATAAATGTTTCAAGATTGACATATCTTTATCATTTTCTTGTGTCGTACGCCCATTTGTCACCAGACCCATAATGAATATAAATAAACCTCCAATTTCAATGTAAATACAAACTTTTTTTAAAGGGCAAATTACCTATACCCCTCGAAGTTTGGCTAAATTACAAATATCTCTGAGATTTGAGAAATTACGAATTCCTCCCTAAATGTTATATTTGCATAAGAAATTAGGGGATAATTTGTTATGAAATATAAACCTCAAGGAGCAAATTGTTATGAAAATACAAACCTCAAAGGACGAGATGTAATTTCCAAAACCTCAAGAATATCTGTAATTTAGCCAAACCTCAAGAGATATGTAATTTGCCCTTTTTAAAAAAAATCTTTGCCTAAAAGCTAAAAAATGGTATGCGCATACAGGATGTTTTGAAAAATTAGTAAAAAATTGACTTTTTATTTTTTTTTAACTTACTTTGTCTTTTTATAAGTAAATTATATGAGAGATAATGTGATCTAAAATTGATAAAAAATTTGAAACTGACTTTTTACTAACTTTTCAAAAGAGCACACGGTAACATTTCCCCTTAAATATGGACAACATATATCATATAAAAATAACTGATATACAAATCCACATTTTATACTCGTTTTCTATATTTATGTATAAATAATATGATTAATTAATAATTAAAAATATATAAAAGAGAATATTATCTTAAATATTCTAAGGAACAATTTAAAAAATTAGTTAAAAGTTAACTTTTAATACATTTTGAAATCCGTCACTTCTCAAAAATAAAAAATAAAAAAAAATAAAAATCAATTTTTAATCAACTTTTCAAATCACCCTTAATTAATTATTACATCATTATACTTCATTATACTTCAGGATAAATCTAATTTTTAAACTTGAATAAGAAATGCTCATCCTAGAAAGTTGTGTATCAATTCTTGTAATCACTGCCTCATCGAGTAGCAGGAATCCATGTAGTGAAAGTTGAAACCCTTTTTAACATTATTTATATATATATATATATATATATAAATAATGTTAAAAAGGGTTTCAACTTTCACTTGGTATTTGGTAACTAGGAAATTGCCCATGAAATCAGAACAAAAGCAACCCCTCCTTAAAGCAATCTCTCCCATAACTAAAAACTTCAAAAAAGAAATAAATTGGCTCAACAAATTTAAAGCCTCAAAAGATAAAATACATGAATATATATTATAGACATATCAAAACAAAATAGTTCTCTCCAACTCAAAAACCCAGAGAGATATGATAAACTAAGATAAAAGAGTTACGCTAGAGAAGAGATGATGGCTTACTTTCAGATGAACCTTTCCAAGATTCTTCGGCCGAGGAATTCACTCCTCCAAATGAAGCCGCTGCCTCAACATCAAGCCCACCTCCAAGGGAAGTGAACAAAGCCGAGAAGCCAGCAGTGGAGGCTCCACCAGCTCCAATCCCCAGGCCAAGAAGATCAAGCGTGGTCGGCTTGTTCCCATAGAAGGACGGTGGGCCCATGATCAAATTAGTCAAACCGGAGGCGGCTCCATCGGTGTGGAGCCCTAGCCCTAGGCCAGCAGCTACCGATGACTTGCTCTCTGGCTTCACCACCACATGGCTGTTGTTCCATTGCCTAGCTGTTGCCGTGTCTTGATTGTCTACTGAAGATTGTAATTCCAAACCAAGCCCTCGAAGGAATGAGGAACTCGACCCTGTTGCCCCCATTTGTGCTGCTTTTTGAAGCAATGCAGTGGCTGATAAAGCAGCGGGTTGTTGAGTCGGAGTGTATTGGCGATGGTGGGATTGACTAGTGGTTGGAAATAGGGAGGAGGGATTGTTGTTGGAGAGATAGAGGGAAGAGGAGAGAGAGAGGGACATGGGTTGTTCTGTTTGGTGGTGCTCTGGACCAGCCATAGCACAGAGCATATCGGAGAATGAAGATGGTGATTGCGAAGGTTGTGAAACTCCTGACGGTGTTGATGATGCAAATATACTTGCAAACACACTGCTGTTACTGCAATTTGCACCATTACCGCTTGAGCTGGAGGAACCGCTGGCTGTTGCGATGGTTAAGTTGGCCGCCACCGGTTGCTGCGGTGGTATTCCGGAGGGGTTTTCCGGCGCTTCTGCCACAGGAAACAAACATCAAATTAAAAAAGAACAGAAAAAAGAAATACTAAGTAGTAAAAGCTTAGAGATTGATTATTAACCAAGCTTTTCATAACGGACTTTTTGTTACTTGTAAAGTTTGAATACATAAACTACTTGAAGTTAGAAAACTTTAGGAAGTAAAAGCAGATGCAATCATGGAGTCCTTTCTTTCTATCTCACTCCAAACTCTCTTTTTAATTCCTTTTTCCACTTTCGATTTTTGAGCTCCTTTATCAATTGCGATTTCCGACTGTTCATCCATCGACCAAAATATATTAATTAATTAATAATAATAACTAATAAACTTGGACAAGAGACGAAGGTCATACATACTATGAAAACCTATACTATTTCTCGCCCTTATCTCTAACCTATATAGCTAATCTCTAGATGAAAACAAGGTCAGTAATCGACAAAATCGGAGGCTATAACAAACAATAACGCCAAAGCATCACATGAAAACAGCGTTCCAAAGAATCCAAAAATATATAATTTAAGAAAAGAAAGAAAAAAAAAAAAGAGAGGAAGACTTAGGTGATTTGATTCAATCCCAAAAACAGTGTCTCATGACTTCCTTGTTTTGGACTATACAATTTCGACAATGTATTAGATTACGTTACCTGAGCTTTGAATGGACAGAACAGGAGAGAGAACACCAGTGGATGGAGTGAGAGGAGGTGGAGGTGGACTAGAAGACGACAAAGCAACACTCTCAACCTTCAACATTTCCTCTGAATTAGCGATAGCCAGGGGTTGGGCTCTGGCACTCTCTTGCGCCAACGCATCGCAAAACGCTCGGTGCGTGAAGAAACTATCCCTCCTGAGAAAAATAAAAAATAAAATAAAAAGCACTTTTCCTTCACTTTCTCAGTAACCAAACACTCAAAAAAGTGGAAGTAAGTATATTTCAGACCTGGAAAACAAAGTTCCACAATCGCATCTGTACTCCCTGGTGCCACAAGTCTTCAAGTGAGCCTTCCAATCCGACTGTACAGCATACTTCTTCGAGCACCGCTCGCACTTCCATTTTTTCTCGCCGTGCTTTCTGCAAAAATGCTTCTTTATGCCGGTGAGATCGCCGAGCGCTCTCCTCGGATCGTGATGAATGCAAGTCGGCTCAGGACAGACGTAGACTCTCTTCCGTATCTCCTTCCCCGTTCGCTGCCGCAGCTTCCACGGCAAGTTATGTCCTCGGCGATGAAGTTGCAGATTCTGGTCTCGCTGAAAGCCTTTGTTGCAGATCTCGCACACGAATCGGTTCGTTGCCATTAGAGTTTTCGGCGACAAAGCTAATACCTCCGCATCTGGATCTGTATCATTATATTTAATTAGACGTTTACACAATTTAGAGAGATGAGTTTGGGATTGATACAAACTTACCAGGCATTCCAGGGAGATTTCTCTTCTTCTTCAGTACTGGTGGTGTAGTAGCCATTTGATTGCCAGACGAAGATACACTCACTTCTCCAGAAGCTGCAGAAACAGCCACTGTTGATGAATTTTCCAACTCAACCATGACGATGATGACTTCTTCAAAACCCTAAGCTCATATATTAATAATTCAGCTCACTTCGCTTTCGAATCAACTCTTTTCCACAACCAAGAATCAAGAACTTAGATTTTGCTTACTCGAGCAGAAATCCGAAATTTTGTTCCCAAAATACAGAAAAGCTAATCAACTGCGAGTACTGTAGTATTCTGCTTACGATTCTCAAAATTCTTTTGCCGGAAAATCAGAATTTTCCTAGAAAACGACCAAATCAAGAAAGGAAAGTGCCAGAAAATCGTCCACTGCGGCAGCTTCTGTTGACTGAAGATGAGTGAGAACGGCCGAACGGTTCAGTCTAGGGTCAAGACTCGTGACTGGAGCACTAAGGTCGGATACGGCGTCAGTATCACTTCTAGAGAGAGAGGATAGGATTTTGGTAATGGAAAATGGTACTATTAAAAAAAGGTTATAGTGGCGGCAGTAAACCATGGTTTGATTACGAACCTCTAAAATTAACCATAGTTAAAGGTGCATCTTGAATCCCAAGTTATGAACCCAAGACTACGTTGCAAACTCTGACCGTCCACGTGTCATCAGTGGCTGGTTGGCGACACTTGTCGGAAGAAGTCTACAGTCGGTCTAAGCGGTGGTTTGTCGTTTAGTGAACCTAAGTAATGCTATACATTGCGGTTGTTGTGTTTCTTTTTAGGTTTTTTAAATGGGTGAATTACGTGGAAAATATTCATAAACATTATAAATATTAATAATTATAATTATAATTGTTTTTTATTTTTTTTAAATAATTTAAGAATTTTTATTGATAAATCTCATTTACAATTGTTCTAATCAAAGAAGTTCATAGCCTCCGTTTGGAAAGTGGGTTGACTTTTTGACTTTTTAGCTTTTTTGACTATACGAGCCTGGGCTCAAAAGCTTGGTTTGGGAAGGGTATTTGGTTTTTTAGTTTTTTTGATTTTTTTGTGAGAGAAGAGTGTAATGATTATGGGGTTGGATGGGATGTTTTGTCTGTTGTGGCTCATAAGCCTATTCTGTCTTTTATGGCTCATTGAGCCAAAAAAGCCCAATAAGCCCTTGCCAAACCAACCATAAGAAATTTTTTAACTCATTCAGTCCCATATATGTATACTTTTATTCTATGAAGTCATTTTTCTTGATTTACACTATTTTCTTAGACTCTTATACCCTATACTAGTTTGTACATTAATTGGTACATATAACATTATTCTTAATTTTTGGTGTGTAATATATATCAACAATAAATAATGGTGCGTAGCTAATTTATTTTTTTGGAATGAAGATATAGGTAATATGAATGGTCATAGGAACTACAAATACATAATGACAATCAACATTAAGGCCAAGTTTGGAAAATTACAAATAATCCATCTTTTTATCTTTTTTTCATCACATCACCTCTCTACTTTTCTGCACATCTTTTTTGTAAAAAAATAAAAAATACACTTATTTAAGTCATCCCAAACAACCCCTAAATATCAACATTAATAGGGTATGAGAGATTGGAAGTGTTTTGGCCTTCTTATCTCAAATAGGACATAATGGAATAGTCAAAAAAAATATGAATTTGATGGAATAAAACTCTTAGAAATCGTTTGGGAAGATGAGTTTGTGGTTTTTTTGGCTATTTCAGCCACAAAAGACAAAATAAGCTATTTTAGCCACAACAAATAAAATATCACATCCAACCTATAATGATTACACTCTTTTCTCACAAAAAAAAGTCAAAAAAGTCAAAAAATCCTTCCCAAACTAAGCTTTTTAGCCCAGGCTAAAATAGTCAAAAAATCAAAAAACTAAAAAGCCAACCCACTTCCCAAACGGAGGCGTAGTGTAACGCTCCAACCCTTCACATGTGGTCGATATTGTCCACTTTGGACCATGCCCGCACGAATTTATTCTTCCCAGTGGATCACCCATCTCAGAATTAGGGAAAAGGCTTCGATACTATATAAGGATCTAAATTTTTACTTTTATAACCCAAAAAATCTTCCTCCATTCCCGATGTAAGACACCGGGGCTTTACACTTAAAAAAGAGAATTTATCAAAGAGGCTCCAATAGTTTATTTGTTTCCACTTATATGTAATCCTGTTTTTTTATTTGAGCAATGCTGCTGTCTATTTGGCAATTTGTAGTTTAAAAAAAAAAAAATTAAACCTATTGAAGTAATAAAAAAAATATTTTAAAAAAATTAAATTATATTCAAGAAAAAGAAAAAGAGAAAGAGAAAATTGAAGAAAATTAAAAAAATATATATTCTAAAAATAATTTCATTGAGCAATTACTTTCTAATCACACCCCTTCTCCATTCTTTCTGGTTGTCGCCAATTCTCACCTCCATCAGTCCTGCGACTTAATCAACATAGATGATGAGATTTGTTAAATTAATAAAATAATAATTGTGGGGATATATTTTTGAGTACCAACACGTGGCAAGGTGACGCCGACGTGTCAGCCGAGGTCCCACGTGTTAGGGTCATGACGCCGAGGTGATCTCGGGTAAGCCGAGGTTATCTCTGAAGATATCGGAATCCGAGATAATCGGATAAAAGATAAGGGACAAGAGTCCTAGAATAAAGAGGAGACTTAGCCAAGATAAGGATAAAGCTCTTAGGGAGTTTATCTTTATCTCTGAAGGAGTCCAAAGTAAGTACTGAACAAGAATTCATAGAAGTCAGGCTTCTATTGAGATTGGGATTGAGGTAACTATAAAATAGAGGCACCCCCGTAGGTCTAAGGTACGCAATTTTATGCTTTTGATACTCAAGCTTATGAGTTTAGCACTTGATTTATCTTTGAGAGATATACTGACTTGATCGTCGAAGTGCCCCCGGGTGGACGAACCACCGCCGGAATCTTCTCTTTCTGTTGTAGGTCAGCCAGGTGTCATCTATTCTACCGGTGCTCTCCAACTGGTTACTAAGCGGGCAGTGTGGTCAGAAAATCACTCACACAATTTGGCGCCGTCTGTGGGAACAAAAGTAGAATAGATGGCCAGTAACGGACAGAAGGAAAAGATTGGGGACGACACTCCTAATAGGAGTAAGAGACCTATTGACCTTGATGGTGAAGAAGAAAGGTCGAACGCAGAAACTCGTGACCAGAATCACGGAGCGAAAAACGTCGGCCAGACTAGCAACGTACCAAAGAAACCTGATCAAAGCAGGTACTACAACGAAGACGACCTCCAGGTTTGGAAGGATAGGTGCCTACGGAGCGAACTCCACTTTGTTTTTGTTCCTTCATGCCACAGCTAGGTGTTGGGACCCGATTACACATGTCTTTAGCTTCAGGGGATAAGAAATTTGTTCGACAATTGAAGTATTTCAAGCACTAATGGAATCTCGGCACGATGAGGAAATCATGTCTCAACCCCATTTTGGCCACACCCAAGCTTTGGGAAGGTTGTGTGGGCTTACTCTGCATGAAGCTCAACTTCTGGCCCACAACGGAGAGTTAGATATTCCCAGTTTGATTCATCAATTTTCTGACGTTGGTGACCGCGACGACCGTCTTTGGCGGGGTTTTCGACAGTATGCCCTCTGCTTATGTATGCTGGCTCGTTTCTTTCTTGCCCCTAGTTTTGGCAGGTCCAGTATTCGTTTGATCGAAGTGGCCCAAGGTTTGAAAGAATGCAAGAGTTGCATTGGCTTGACATTGGCCAAGACCTTGACGGGCTTAGACGCCTTCCATCGGTTGGAGACTACCAGAGTCGCAGGGAGTCCACTACTTCTTTAGGTAATGTTTCCTACCCGTTTTCATATATGTTTCTCACATCGCTTGGCACGTATGCTCGATTTTTCTCTCAAAGGCCTTTTCTCGCTTGTCTCTCAACATACATCTATCTATTCTTTAATCTCTCTTTTCTTTCATCCCTTCCCAGGTGTGGCCTATGGATAAGCTTAGGGTAGTGGACTCTTGCCCTGAACACTCAGCTTGGGGCTATTTCTTCCGCCACCGACTAGTGGATTTCTCGAACGAGGGATGGTGGTGCAACTAGATGTGTAACAGGTCTGCTGCTGACATAGCTTGGCACTGCTCTTGGCATAACTTGACCTAGATGGGCTACAACATGACTCGACTGCCCAGCATTCAGCTGATCGGCTTGACACACTGCGTGTTCTACATTCCTTTCCGGTTGAGACGTCAATCTGGGCATTGTAGACATCCCATTTTTGACCATCCTCAAGACTTGGACGTCATCGTTTGAACACTCGATGATCATCCATGCTCGTGTTCGTTTTGAGTTCCCGAAGGTCTCGACTGCGCGCATTGCCTTAGAACCTCTCAACTTGTCTGTTTCGTGCTTGGTTATGCACCAAGAGCTTGTGGTTTTGTTCCTGAGGGAAGAGGGTGGCTTGTTGGCCATCCCTACAACCCATCGGCCAAGCTTTGTGCTTGTCGGCCTCTCTTTCTTGCAATCGGCCATAAGTGTTGGCCGGTCGGCACCTTTTTTGGTCGGTCGGTCGGCACACTTTTTGGTCGATCGGCCATAAATTTTAGCTGAGGCCTTTTCTTTGCTTTTGCAGGCTTTGTGCATGCCAGTTGTGCCAGCTGGTGAGCACAAACTGTTTCCTCCATACACGTGTATGGAGGGATTTGAACCAAGCTTTAGCTTCTCCAAGAAGCTTTAGACTTAATTTCCTATAAGAAGGGAGGCTCTCCTCCCTTTCCAAAGGGTTTGGAAATTTGATATATAAGTTATATATCTTTCTCCCTCTATATTCCTCAATCTCTCTCTATATTGGCCCTTGTTTGTGCCTTAAAGTGAGTGTTCTTCATACATTTTGCCTAGAACCCCTTAGCCAAACCTCTTGACCTTGGAGCTGTGGTTCCATAGGACTTGTTTTAGTATCCTAAGGTTGGTTTTGGCACAGAAGAGCTGCTGGTTTTGTTGTTCTACAAGGGTGAGTCCCATGTCCTCTTTTAAGCTTTGTTTTGCTTGAGTACTTTTTTTGGCTTAGCTTTAAACTGAAAATAGCTTTGATTCTAAGTGCTTAACATGTTTGTTTGAGGCCTCTTTGGTGTTGGGGGTGGTCTACCTCTTTTGTGCCTAACTCAAAGAAGATTTTACTCATATTTCAGCATGCTTAAGCTCTGTTTGAAGTGTTTTGGGTCGTGCATACACTGTTTTGTATAGCTGTGGTTCAATCTAGCTTACTAGCTTCGTGTATTGGGTCCACTAGCATGCATTGCTTAGGCTATTTTCATGATCTAGCATCATTTCTACCATGATTTCAGTGCATATTCCTTGGCCAGACACTCACATGTGTCACTCTTTCAATGCCTTTGAAAGGTTGTTCTTTATGCCTTAAACATGAGCCTATATGCATGCCTTTTTGCCTAAGCTTGTGGGCCGCCGTATCAGTGCATTTTTGGTGTTATTTTGACATGCTATAACTCTGATTTTTGTTGGTA